ATTTCCAAAGTCCTGGGGTTGATCCTCCTGCTCGTGGAGCCCCAACTCCAGCAGAGAGTGGGTTGTTGGATTTGGTGAATTAATCACTGCTTAATTGCTCTGTGTTGGGGCTGATGTGTGGGGAGACAAGGTGTAACTATCAAAAAGCCTTTGAGTGACAACTGTGGCAAGGAAAGGTCTTGGAAGCTTTGGGGGAGGTTGGATGAAGGGACAGGATGGTCTGGTCCTATGCCAAAGGCAGGGATGGCTCCAGGTGAGAAGAATTCCTCTTAAACAGGGAGAGAAAAGAGGTGTGAGCTTGTTATGGAGCAGGTTTTTAATGTCTTCTTGGCCACTGAAAGCTAAGAGTTGAATTTCCTGCATTTTGAAGCAGCAGCAATGAGGAGAATCTGAGACTGGAAGGTCCCTGAGGAGCACCTGGTGCTGGAAGCTGTCCCTGCCACAGTGAATTCCCTGTGACATCATTCCTTAAAGGCCTCCAGACTGGTCCCTGGATCCCAGCATGGCCTGTCAGCTCGTCTTTACTGAAACACTTGTTTAATTCTTAACTCACAAGACATTTGCTTATTTATTTTCATTGTTCCTGATAATAATTCTAAGCCATTAGAGGGGAAAATTGTATTCAGAAATGCTGTTTCACACTTTATTTGTTTGATGATTTAGAGCGATAGAAAATAGCACATTTGCTGGCTTTTATAGTCTGATAATTATCCACATCCATCAAGCCCCATTCCAGGGGAATAAACAAAACACCAAGAAAATTACACTATTAATGACATCCTATGATGGCAAAGAGGAAGGATCTTTCTTTTGTGTTAAGGATAAAGAGGGGACTGTCCAGTTAAACTTATGTTGGGAGGGTGGGGAGGAGCTGGGATGGAATTCCCAGAGAAGCTGTGGCTGCCCCATCCCTGGAAGTGTCCGAGGCCAGGTTGGAGCACCCTGGGCTAGTGGGAGGTGTCCCTGCTCATGGCAGGGGGTAGAACTGGATGAGATTTAAGGTCCCTTCCAACCCAAACCATTTCATAATTAATTCCATATTAACAAGAGCAAACTACCATTACAAGGAGATAATTTTCTCACACATTTGTAGCTTTGGGGCAAAACCTTCTGAACTTGTGACCCCGACTCAGGAACTCAGAGAATCAGATGGAGGCAGAGAACCAGAAATGCTGGAATTAATGTTTCAGGACACAAGTTGGGAAGCTGAAGAGTGTTTCATGTAGAACAGTAAGTTCTGTTTGAGTACAAGTGATACTTGATCCCCTTCAGGGACTTTGTGTTGTTTTGGTGGGAAGTAGGAAAAGGTAATTGGAAAGGCTCAGGATATCACGTTGAGATTGTTGACTTCGGGCTGAGGTGACATTGGAGTCGTGTAACTATAACTTTTTTTTAATCCTGAGCTATTTTTTTCTTTCCCCACCCTGTAAATCTCCTGTTCCCTGGCAGAGCAGCAGCACATCACTCACGCTGCAATCCCACAAATTGCTGAGTGGCAGGTTTTTGGGGGAAGCTTGGCCTTTTGTCTTGGTCAACCAGTGCAAGGCTGACCCTTGGAATCAGTCCCTTGGTTTGTTTGCCAGCCCAGTTCCTTGGAAGTTTGATCTACCCTCAAACAGCTGCTGCTTTAGCACTATCAACATAAACTTGGCTTTTCTGGGGGACCAGGTTGAACCAGGAGGGGACAAATCCTGCCCTGGCTCAAGGTCAGTGTTTCCAGCACTGTTGGGTTCTCTGGTGACTCTTGCAGAGTTTTTTCTCTGCAGCAGAAATAGTCTATAAAAAGATGGTTCTTAAGACAGGCTGTTCAAATATTTATGCTGCCACCATCACTTCTTTTTACTTGAGGTTGTTTGGGGGAGTGGAAAATCCTTTTTCCATCCAGGTGAGTCCTGCTCCACACCTGATCCAACCCTAACCCAAAACTGCCCCTGCCAAGGGGTTGAAGCCTCAGGCAGTTCTCAGTCCAACATTCCTGACACATCCCAATCCATGGAGACTGAGTCTGTTTTACCCAGTTGATATAAAAGTGGTATTTTGCTTGTTTTGAAGTTTTTTTTTCCCTTCTCTGTCCTTGTCTTTGTGGAAAGCATTTGTCTGTGAACTGAATGGGACAGAAGAGGGGAGGAGTTTTACACGTGTTTTAATTTTTTAGTTTTCTCTTTCAAGGTTTTTTATAGGGCGGAGGAGTTTTTTTGTATTTTTCTAGAGGAAATACATTTAGTATTTTAGCCGGGAGATTGAAAGGAAAATAACCACCAAAAAAATGGTTAAAGCATTCAAAGTCATGCATCTAGAAAAGGAAAATTCTTGGATGTGCTTTTGCCTGGGGGTTGTCCCTGGAATTAAAGTTTTGCAGTTGAGCTGAGCCCCAGCTGTGGGGGCTGAGCCACACAAGGACTTTTGTCCCCGCCACGTGTTGGATGTTTTTCACACTGCAAGCAGGAGGACACCCAAAAAAATCTGTTTATTGCTCAAAAACTGCACTTCTTTGACTGCAGCAATTCTGAATGTTTGCATTGTTGTTCTGCCTCACGATCAATCAGCTGATGTGTAGATTGAGCTCAATCTGTGCCATACTCGGAGCCTTCTGTTTCTCTTGCTGGCTCTAAGCAGCAGCCCCAAATTCTGCCTTTATTGCCTGTCTTTATGTAAATCACTCAGATCTGTGAGCAGAACTCAAAGCACACAATTTGACCTACTTTGAATCCTCTCCTGCTGTTAATTTTGTGAATCCCTAAAAGAAGTGCAAAGGGGGGATGTGTGGTAGGTTCAGCTTCCCAAAGCCCGGCCCAAACAACAAAAGTGAATTTCTAAAACGGGAGTCAGCTCTTACCACTCTGTGCTGGGCTATTTTCATTTCTCTGTTATTACATATAGTTCTTTTTTATAAGCTGGAAATTCCTCCTCTCTGGCTGGTTTCTATCCAAGCAAGTCCTTTTTCTTTGTCTCTCCACGGGCTGTTCTCTAAAGCCTCGCTTGGCTTTTTGCAGGCTGCAGTTTCAGATAACACAATAACCATGTTCCAATGTATTAAACTTTTAACATCCTCAAGATTCAATTAATCTTATCTTTACAACTCCCAATTACAGGCACTAATTAAGTGAAGGTTGCATTGTAGACTGGGGATATTACATTAATCATCAGCAGCCTTGTAGCCATAAATTAGTTCTTTCCCAATCCTTCAGCATTTTTCCCAGAAGGAATGGAATGTCTCATTTCCCTGTTTTAAGGGACATTAATCCCACAAAGGAGCTTTGGATCGGGATTAGTTTTATCACATTTATGTAAGTGATGAATGGTCTTTGTAAAATAAAAGCCACCAGCTTTGTCCCACACAAATGGAATTGAATTGTTTGATAATTATGCAATTTAAGGCACTGTCAAACTTTGGTCCGGGGATGTTGGGAGTCCATTGCTGGATTTATTATTTTACAAGATTAGGGGCTACACAGTGTTTTGCCTGAAATTTTTTGTTTTAAGCCATCAGTTGAAATCAGCTTAATGTCTAAATGTTGAAGCCCCAGTGTTTGATTTCTGTCCTGTGTTATCCTCCCAACCTGCCAGGCCACAACAGGTGCATTTTGATTTTGTGATACAGGAGAGATGGTTTTATCTGCTCCTCCTTACATTGTAGACTCGAGTTTTAGGCTTGAAAATCGAGGAGTTGGCTGAAATTCCTCTCAACTCAGGTGGATTTTGAGCTCTGTCCTGAGCAGAGCAATATGTGCACCTGCTGTTGAGATGGTGCAAGTTCCCCCCTGCAATATCCTGTTTGTAGCTTGTTGTAATGAGGCCTGATGGCTTTGACATCTTTATTGGAAATAGCAAAAATAATGCATTTTTTATTGTTCTCTTTGAAGAGAACTTATTGCTGGCAATAAATGCCATTCTCACAAATGTAAATTCTCAGAATTCTTCAGTGAGAGCCACGTTTCACTCTCTGCAGTTTGTAACCAGTGATTTACAAATTTCCATTGGCAAGATTATGTGTGGCATCATGTTAAACACACCAAAGTATTTATCATTTGTCAGGGTATTTAATTCCCTCCTTATAACCTGAACACATAAATCTCGGTCACCTGATTTTTTGCTCCTGTGTATATTCAAAGCACTGAGGGAACTAAAAGCTTTTGGAAGAGGAAGGAAAGTGGTTTTTGGACAGGATGGTCACACACAGCTCTTTGTCTGTGACCTCTGGGACTTCAGGCACTTAATTGTTTTTCCAGTTTTATGTTCAATAATTTGCACTCCAAAAAAAATTTCAGCCAAATCCTTTTGCACTCTTTTTACCCCTAATTTTACAGAACTGCCTTTAAGAAGTGTAGAAGTTGTTCTTTGTACCCTTTGAAGTTGTTTTTCCTCAGCAGGCCCTTCGTTTTCATTCACCTCAGCGAGAAAATTATGGAATGGTTTAATTCCATTATTCCCATCAGCCAATAAAATGCAGCACAGACATAAGGATGGAGCCATAACTGCTTCAGCCATGAGGAAGAATATTTACTTTTTGGAACCAAATGAAAACTGTTTGCACAGAAAATGGTTGTATTCCAGAGCACACAGACCCTCCTTCACACCTTTTTCAGCCCATCCAACATTTCTTGCTTGTTAATCTTTAGCACAATTTTATTTTTGCAGATCTGTTTCCAATGGAAAACACACCTGCTGTTCCTTGCACTGATTTATTTCTGGTTTTCCAGTGCTGGATCATCACTTTATCTCCTTGATTTCCCCTCTACCTTGTGAAATCTTGTGATGCTGTTTTAGAAAATAACACACCTCATATAACATGTCTGAGGAGTTTTGTTAAAATCCTGGGTTTCTCCCATGTATTGTGTGTTCCTGATGCCTTTCAGGGGTATAAAATTTGGGTTTATTTCCAGGCAAGGTGTGCTGTGCTGAAGGTTTTTCCCCCACTCGTTCCTGGCCTTTTTCTTTAGCTGGTTTTTACATCCCAGCCTGCTGATTTTGGTGTTTAATTCCCTGTTAATCTCTCCCAGGTATGCCATCCCTCCGGAACACGGCAAGAGGCTGGAACGCCTGGCAAAAGGTGAGCTTGGAGTTCTCAAGGGATTGACAAAGAACTGGCTTTGAACTGACTGTCAGAATTTAATCTTGCCAAGAGCTGCTTGAGGAACCTGCTGCCTTGGTGGAGCCAAAAAACTTGGCAGGGCCTTTTCCTTTCCTCAAAGCCTCTGTTTGTGGCACACCATGACCCCGACTAAAATTGCTTGGAAAAACCTTGAATTTTGAGGCATTGAGACCAAAGCCTTCCATGGCTGGGCAGGGGGTTTAATCATAGAATTCCAGAGTGGTTTGGGTTGGGAGGAACCTTAAAACTCATCCAGTTCCATCCCAGGAACACCTTCAGCTATCCCAGGTTGCTCCAAGCCTCATCTAACCCTTGGACACTTCCAGGGATGGGGCAGCCACAGCTGCTCTGGGCAACCTGTGCCATGGCCCCAGCACCCTCCCATCAGGAATTCCTTCCCAATATCCCACCTAAACCTTCCCCTTCATGGACAATGGGGATTTGTCCACACTTGTGCTGTTCCAGAGGTGTGAAGTGCAGCCTGAGGCTCTCCTGGTTCTGCAGGGACAGAGGGGAGCAGGAGCTGTTTCTTCTGACACTCCAAATGTTACATCTGCAGTCTTAGCAACTTTATTATTATTAATTATTTTCAGCCTTAATTAGGGAAGTGCTCAGAAATTCAGCAGCAGCTTTATCATCACACCATAGAGTGTTAAGGGGTTGGAAGGGACCTTAAAGCTCATCCTATTCCAACCCCTGCCATGGGCAGGGACACCTCCCTCTATTCCAGACCTCCCTCTATTCCAGGTTTCTCCAAGGCCTTGGACACTTCCAGGGATGGAGCATCCACAGTTTCCCTGGGCAACCTGTGCCAGGGCCCCACCACCCTCACAATAAAAACTTTCCTAATATCCCACCTAATTTTCCCCTCTTTCAGTCTGTACCCGTTACTCCTTCACCCTCTAATGACACATGGTGGATTTGCTCATTTTCCTTCTAGTTTAGGCTCATCCTCCTTTATTTTTGGTGCAATAAAAACCAAATTAAAAACAAACAAACAAACAATGAAAGATAAAACAAAAGAAAGGGAAATGCAGGGGTGGGGGAAGGTCAGAGTTGGTTTGGGCTGTGCTGAACTCCCACCTCTCAGTCTCCAGGGAAGGTGTCTGCCTGCACAGGTCTATATTTTTTAATTTATTGGTGATGTTGCTATTTTTGTTCACTTGCAAATGTTCCTGGAGCTGCCCAGCTAAAAAAAAGCTCCTGACCCAGAATAATTAACTCCAAACCTCCGTGGTTCATCTCCAGAGAGGCGAAGGGAGATGGTTTGAATCTGGTGGGGAAGTGAAAAGCAGGCAGGAAAATCTGGAGGGCTCTGGTTGGATTCAAAAGAAGAGAAGTTCTGAGACTGATTTTCCAGCAAATAAGCAAATTCAGTGTAATGCCATTTCCTGCTGGCAGTCCGACATTTGATTGAATAAAATAGAATTTATTAATAAATTAAAAATAATAAATAATTAATAAATTAAATAATTTTTAAATTAAATTAAAAAATTTAAAAGTAATAAAATTATTAATAAATAAATAAAATTTAAATAAATTTATAATTTTATTTAATAAAATAATAAATAAAAATAAATAAATAAAATAAATAAAATAGTTTTAATAATAATAAATAAAAATTAAAATATAAGAATAAAAATAACTAATCTAATAATAAAATAGCATAAAAGAATAAAATAATAGGATAAAAATAGAATAAAAATAATAAATAGAGTAAAATAGAATACAAAGAATAAAAATCATCGATAAAAAGAATAAATATAATAATAAAATTAGAATAAAAAGAATAAAATAATAGAATAAAAATTATAACTATAATAATAAAATAATAAAATAATAGAATAAAAAGAATAAATATAAAAATATAATTAAAAGAGTAAAATAATAGAATAAAAGTAATAAATATAATAATAAAATAAAATAAAAATAATAAATAAAAATGAAAAAATATAATAATAAAATAAGAGAATAAAAATAAGATAATAAAATAATAGAATTTCAAAAATAATTTTAAAAGGAGAGAGTGCCAAGGGGTTCAACTGATTGTGTGGGATAAATGTAGAACAACTGGGCATGAATTTCCTAGGGCAGAGTAGTGTTGTTTTCCTGTGCACTGAGCTCTTTGATCCCTAAATACAAATATTATTAGAACTGTCTGCTGAGAAATGGTGCATTTCAAAGCTACAGTTCAGTCATTTGCCAGGTTTTAACAGATAAAAAAGTGATTTTTCTGAGAAGTCAGTCAATCCAGAGGACTTGTGTTCTGCAGGCTCTGAAATCCCCCCCAGCTCTGACAGAAGTAATAAGAAGTTTCTTGCTGTTTGTAACTAATTTTTATGGATGATCGATTTCTGGACGGTTTGTGACGTAAAACCAGAAGGAAATTATCAGTGATCTGGTCTTTAGTTTAGTTTTCTGGCCTTTTGGAAGGTGGGATGGGGGATGTTTTACAGCTCCAAGGAGGCACTTTTGCTCCCTGGCCATTCCCTCTGTCCTCCCCATCAATGTACCAGGGAGAATTTACTGTGGAGAAATGAGGGTGCAATTAATATGGAAAATGAATAGCTGAGCTGGAAATGGGCTCACTGGGAGAGCTGTGGAGCCCAGGGAGAGCATGTTAATGTGTTGCCATGTTATTGGTGCTAATCACTTAAAATGGGCTTCTTTATTAGTGGCTTTAATGAGAGCCACTTAAACTGTGCATTAAAAAGAGGGACTGCAGAGAGGAACGACAGGCTGGGTAGCAGACAGTCATAATTTTAATTGAAATGCTTTTAGTACAAAAATGTTAAGAAAACCTGGAATCCAGTAATCCTTTTCTCTTCCTGAAACCCCTTTCCATTTTGTCCCATCAATTACTTTTGTTTCCAGAGCTTGGCTTATTTATTTTCCTAAATGGTGATGGGTTTGAAGCCCTGTAAACACACAACTTGTCACTGAGTCACCCACTCGGAGGGGAAAAAATGTGATCCTGAAGAAAACAAGGTTCCATTTGTTGGCACTGAGGAGCTTGTTCAGTTTTTACCACCATTTTTAGTGTTCTTAATTATTTGGGATTGTGGATCCTGTAACTGAGGTGGGCTTGGATGGTGCTGAGGTTCTGAGTCAGGTCCTGCTGTCTCTGCCACTTCTTGGTGACCACTGAACGTGTCCCTCCTGCCACTGCCTGGGAGGGACATGTTTTATTTCCTTTCTTTTCCCTGAATATTCACATTTACAGGCTGATTTTTCCCTTTAGAGAGTGGTCTGTAGGGCAGGTTGCTCTGGAATCTAACAAATTGTATTACTTGCCCAAGAATATTCCAGCAGCCCATCAGAGCAGGTGTAAAAAGGCTGTGGGAGTGCTTGGAGTAGCTGGTGCAGCCTGGGACTTTTTCCTTGTCTGTATTCAGAAAAAAAGGGGTCAGGGTTTGGGGTACCAGCCAAAATCTAAGAGAGACAGGTTATGTTTCTTAATTTTCAGGGTTTTACTGATATTTTGGCCAACATACTTACCCAGACAGAGAAGACTTAGATGCAAACTCTCATTTTGAAGGGAATTCAGGCTTAAGTCAACACTCTCAGGACAGGGGGGATTGTTGAGGTGTCCTGTGCAGGGCCAGGAGTTGGACTCAATCCTCGTGGGTCCCTTCTAACTCAGGATATTCCATGTTTCTATGATTTTGGTGTCTCCACGTGCAAGTTTTTGTCACAAAATTGATGCAATATTTTAAAAAACGTGCTAATTCCTGACATCTTGGTCATCTGCTTTTGTTTTATCTGTATAAATAAGGCAGATTTTCATTTATCAGCTCGTCTCTGCTTAACAAATCCATCAGATATGACACCCCTGTAGTGATATTCCTCCTTTGAATGTCTCCACAGGATTTTTCCCAGGAAGCTCTCAGGGATGTGATGCTTTCCTCCGTCACAAGATGACCCTCATTTCTCCCTCCATCCTGAAGAAATACGGGATTCCCTTCGACCGGGTACGTCCAGGGGTGCAGGGAACACACTGGCAGCTTCTTGGGGTGCACAGGGCACAGCACCTCTCTTTTGAGGGAAAAAATCCCTGGGGAGAGATTGGTTTAATTTCTAAGTGCATTATTATTCTGAATGTATCCCGTTGGTTCAAACCAGGAAAGGAGCATTTGGGGTTTGGCTGAGACACCGTGAAGTGAAAAAAAAGCTTCCACTGAACAAACTCTGGCAATTCAGGAGCCTCTCAGGAAGGGAGGGACAGGCTAATCCAGATGTTCTGGCTTATCAATCATAGAATCACAGAATCACAGAATCAGCTGGGTTGGAAGGGACCTCTGAGATCATCAAGTCCAACCCTTGATCCAACCCCGCCGTGGTTCCCAGCCCATGGCACTGATGCCACATCCAGTCTCATCCTAAAAACCTCCAGGGATGGAGAATCCACCACTTCCCTGGGCAGCCCATTCCAATGGCTGATCACCCTCTCTGAAAGAAATTCTTCCTGATATCCAACCTAAACCTCCCCTGGCACAGCTGAAGACCCTGAGCCCTCTTGTCTTGCTGAGAGTTGCCTGGGAAAAGAGACCAACCCCCCCCTGGCTCCCCCCTCCTGTCAGGGAGTTGGAGAGAGTGAGGAGGTCTCCCCTGAGCCTCCTCTTCTCCAGGCTGAACAGCCCCAGCTCCCTCAGCCTCTCCTCACAGCACTTGTGCTCGAGGCAGCAAAGCTCTTTGGTGAGTCAGGAACACTTATTTTTCTCCTTGTGGATGCAGCAGGAGCCCAAACTGGACGTGCTGGTTCCCTGTTGTGTAAGTGCTCTAAGCCTGGAAGGATCCCTGAGTCTCTTAAACCCTCTTTTTTTGAGCTGAGGGGTCATGTTTGTTTGGTATGATCGTTTTAATGTGCTTATTCTTAAAGTCTTCTGAAGTAAATCTCCTCAGCCAGGCTTACAGGGATTTGTATCTGGGCAGGATCAGTCAAACCTCTGCTGTGCTGCGTGTTCCCGGCACACGGAGCCCGGCCTGCCTTTGGATGTGGGAAGTGTCAAAGAATTCCTGGTCCAAACTGATCTCACAGAATCCCACAGTGCTTTGGGTTGGAAGGGTCTTAAAGCCCATCCAGTTCCACCCCCTGCCATGGGCAGGGACACCTTCCACTAGCCCAGGGTGCTCCAACCTGGCCTTGGACACTTCCAGGGATGGGGCAGCCACAGCTGCTCTGAGAATTCCATCCCAGTCCCTCTCCACCCTCCCAGCCAGGAATTCCTTCCCAATATCCCATCTAAATTTCCCTTCTTTCACTTTGAAGCCATTCCCTGTGTCCTGTGCCTCCATCCCTTGTCCAAAGTCCCTCTCTACCCTTCCCCATCCCTTTTCCATCATCACCTCTATATGGCCAGATTTTTCCAAGAACTCTCACATTCTGTTAATTATGTTTTTTAGGCATAGTTTAGTCAGAGTTAATCCACCTGAGACCTCTTTGCTGAGCCTGCTGATTCTTTGAGATGGAAGTAAAAGATCTTGGCTCTTCTATAGCATAAAAAACTATGAATTCATTCTATTTACTGCTCCAGGGACTGTTTGATTTTTCCTGGTGGGGGGTTATGATGAATGAAATTTGAAGTGGGATCATCAGATGAGCTTCCATGGACCAATGTGGTGCTTGTGGTTCAACATCAGTGCCTGGACTTGGCCTAGTTAGTTGGAACTAAATTGTTCATGGAGAACAACAAACCATTTTTCCTGTAATTCCATCAGTGGAACCTGATTCCCAGGTGGGAAAATACAGGTACCTGCTCCACAGAGTTGAAAATAATAATGAAAATATCTAATTTTAGAATCTTGGCTGTGCCAGAGGTTGGAAAGGGAAGGAAGTTCTTGCAGGACTTAAAATGTTTGTGTGCTGTAGGTGGGCAGATATTTCTCCAGAATAAACATTATTATGTGGTTTTTTTTACATCTGTCTGAGGAAAGTAGCATTGACTAGTAATTTTATATTTATATATAAATATAATCACTAAGTGATTTCTGATCAATAACCAAGCAGGGGCAGCAAAGGAGTTTGTAAAAAAAGGCAATAGAAGGAAAACTTTCCTTCCAAACTTATTCCAAGTCATCTTTGCTGAGCTGTATTTGATAGGGATGGGGCTACAAAGTGGTTTAGATAAGGGAGTTGCTAATTTATTGCTTGGTAAAAAGTCTTCACCTGCTGACTGAGGTGTCCCTCTCTGAATGTTGTGATTTTTGACATGAAGGATGTTTGCAGATTGATGGCTGGTGTCTTCTTCATGCTGAGTATAAGTAGTTGTCTTAATGCTAAAAATCTGCTTTTTATCTTCCTATTTTTTACCTGTGTACACAGAGGACAATATTAATGTCAACACCAAATTTCCTTTTTTAAAGCAAGTGACTTAAATATAATTATTATACCAGGTTCCTTAAATATACTTACATAAAATTATTATAGCATGTTACTTAAATTATTTAAATATAATTATTATAGCATGTTACTTAAATATCACTCCTAATCCTGATTTATAGTGTGTTTTTGTGACAATTACTCCCCTGGAAAGCTGTTTTTAGGTGTAAAAAGGAGGAGATCTCTTCAGTCTGAGCAACCTGTGTCTGAAGCCTCCTGTCCTGAAATAGGAGCTTTTGGAGGAGGATCACTGTTATTCACAAACAGGGAACAAGTGCCATTTTTTCCTCTGGGAATAGAGATAGCATCCCTCCATCTGAATTCTTGGCAGATTTCAATGAAGTGAATAGGCAGCATTTATAAATCTCTATAATGGTGTTCTGGAAAAAAAAAAGAACCAGATCAATGCGAGGGCTTTTTAATAATTAAAAATGTGTATTTCTGTAATCTCCTATTGATTTCTCCATTTATTCCTCAAGAGCTTGCAGGAGTCAGTAAATTTGGGGCTTTCTCCATGAGTGGCAGTTTGTGCTGGCTTTCCTTCACTAGTTATTACTTTTCTGCATGGCCTATCCATCATCTTGAGGGCTTTCTAATTTATTGTGGGCTAATGTTGACAGCGGTGCCAGGGCTGACACACACTGTGGGCTCGAAATGAAGACACCAGGATGGAGATTTACTGACAGAAACATAATCTTTGTGTCTTCTGGAGTTACAGTTGCAGCTCTGCTGGGATTTATGGAGGGGATGGATGGGGGGATGCTCTGAGTGAAGGTTGGACTCGAGCAACTCATCCAGAAATCCTGCAGGAGCCTCTTGTGTTATCACAGCAGATTTTAGTACCTATTTTGTAATTGTTCTACGAACATTAACAACATCAGCAAGTTTAGATGTTGGCCCAGCCAAGTGAAAAGTGTTTGAGCTTCTCTCTGTTTCCATTTCCCATTTGGGCCCATCCTGGTGTTTGGAAGTGCAAGTCCTTTGGAATCTCCGAGCTCCCGGGCTGTGAGTTATGGCTGGTGGGAAGGGATCCAAATGGAATTGCCTGGCATGGGACTGCTGTGAAAGCTCTGTCAGCACTTCTGGGTTGGAAAGGCAGGGAAGGTCAAGCTTTGCCTCTTTGCTAGTCCATGGAAGGGAGGTGCTGTCACACACGTGCTGAGCTGGGGAGCTGCTCCCAGCCCACTCTGCTACATCCAGTTTGCCCTCAGGAGTCATTCCAAACTCTTTAACAATTAAGTTCCTTGTTTCCCCAATGGCTTCTCTGCATAAGATGTAAAAAGAGGATTTTTTTAGAAGCATCACAAATTTATTTGGCCTCTGGTTCCAACTGTAGAGTTTAACCCTTTTTAGTGATGGCCATAATGCTTATTGTTGTTTATTTTTAATAAAGTAGAATCACAGAATGGTTTGGGTTGGAAGAGACCTTAAAGTTCATCCAGTTCCACCCCTGCATGGGCAGGGACACCTCCCACTAGCACAGGTTGCTCCAACCTGGCCTTGGAGACTTCCAGGGATGGAGCAGCCACAGCTTCTCTGGACAACTACCAAAGCAGACAAAGGATGGGCTGCAATTTTTAAGGTGTTTGACTTTTGGGTGAACAAATGGGAGTGATAAATGTGAGGGGGAGAATAAATCCAGTGAAAGGCAGGAGGTGCTTCAGTAGGACCCTGGTGTTTAGAGGAGGGAAATCCAGAGTTCTTGGCTCCTCTGGCCTGGTGGTGGGAATGTAGCTTTGGACCTGCCATGAGCCAAATCCTCACAGTCTGAGGATTTATTGATCTCTTGGAATGCTGCAGCCTGAGAGCCTTTGAACTAGAACCTGTGGGTGTAAATAGTTCAGAGCTTGTGCCCTTTCCATCCACTGTTCTGGGTTTTTTCCTTAGGAGAAATACTTCAGTATTTTTGCAGTTGTCCAGGAATTATTCCAGGTTTAACCAGGAGCTGGCAAGGACTGTCCCGCTGACCTCCGGATTGAAAGAAAGACATTTAACTGGTGGATTTTTTAATAGGTCTCTGTTCTGCACATTAACTGACCTGTGGGGTGTCTCCTCCCTTTGCCTTTGTTTTCCAGATCACCCAGGAAGCTGGAGAGTTCATGATCACATTCCCTTATGGATACCACGCCGGCTTCAACCACGGCTTCAACTGTGCCGAGTCCACCAACTTTGCCACTTTGAGATGGATTGACTATGGAAAAATGGCAACCCAAGTAGGTGTCAGTTGGGATGAAGTGTTATTTAAAACCACCAGCTCAGGAAATACAGAGGAATGAGAGAGGGAGACTTAAGGACAAAATGGGAAGTGCCACTGTGATGTGCTCTTTCACCACCCCGTGTGGCTGTTTTATTCCTGTTGGTGGTTCCTCTCATTCTGAGGGTGTAGTGAGGACTTTCTCAGGTGCTGGGTGTTACAAACGCCTTGTGAGCTTTGGAGATTGGTAATTCAGAATTAGTTTTCTGATGCAGCCAAACTGCATTTCACAGTGAGTGAGGTGACTGATGTAACCGAGTACAACTCATTAGGTGCACACTGGAGGGGAAGGAATAAGCTGGAAATACTTTCAAGCTTTAATAAGACTATGGTAATAACATTCTGAAAATACCTGAATTCCTCTAATCTGTGCACTCCAGTTACATTTGGAGAGGAGAGTCAGGCTGAAATATGTGGTTATTTCTCATTAGGGCAAATTTCTGCTATGTTTTGTTACTTTGGTTTTGCATTCTCCTGTTTTGGAGTCTGGAGAGTAACTGATCAGCAAAGCTCATTCAATGAATCTGTGAATTTTTGAATTAGGGATCAGTTCCACACAGGGCAAAAGAGAAATGAATGAAGAAGGGGTGGCACTTGAAAATTGCCTTAGATGTTCCTTTGCAGAAAGAAAGACTCAGTTTTCCCTCTAGAATGGCACTTGTAATATCTCTCCTTCACTTCTTTTTCTTCTATCAGCTCAGCTTGAATCTGTAACTTTTGTAATGCACTCTAATGCTTTCTTGTTCTTCTAAAACAAGCAGATTTTATTGTTTTATTGTGTCCTTAAAGCCTATCCAGTCCCAGCCCCTGCCATGGGCAGGGACACCTTCCACCAGACCAGGTTGTTCCAAGCCCTGTCCAGCCTGGCCTTGGACACTTCCAGGGATGGGTCTTCCATTTGAATTTGTTCTGGAGTTAAGGGAAGGGTAAGAAAAACCTTAAACCATAAGAAAAGCCTTAAACTCCAGAAAAAATAGCCAAGCAAACTTGGTTTAGAAATGTCAAGAATGGTTTTTGTGTGCTGTGACCTTGTCTGGCAGGTTTGTCTGCAGCAAACGGTCCTGGTATTACACCCCAGAAAATGGGGGTTTATCAGGGAAATTCGGGCAGCCCCTTCACCACAGCAGCTCCAGCTCGAATATTAAAAGCAGTTTTGGGCTCAGCCATGTGTTCCCAAACAAGTGACATTTGGGAAGTGCAGTTTTCGATGGAGCCTCTGTGCTCACATTGTGGAGCAGCAGAGCGTGAAATTACTGAACAAGCAGCAGCGAGAGCTCGGAGCAAAGCTGGGCAGGGGAAGGGCAAGTGGGGAAGGAGATGCCCAATTCATTCCCACTGCACTCAGGGCCACTTGTCTGTTCTGAGCTTCCTGGTTAATATTGCTGAAATCACGTGTTAATTAACCCCTGGGTAGCTGGGGGTTGTGCTCCTGGTGAGGTGTGAGTGTTGTCACACTCTGAGGGCAAAAGGTTTGTTTAAACCTCTTTTGGAGTTAAACAGGGGCTTAATGAAATACCAGCTGAGGGTGGAAACTGGAGCTGCCTGGGGTTTGTGGGGAGAGAATTCGGGGAGAGAAGTCCTTCCCTGTGAGGGTGGTGAGGCCCTGGAACAGATTATTCAGAGGTGGCCTCTAAATATCCTGCTGTACAAAAAGCTGCTTTCTTTTTATACAATTTTGGTACAATTTGAGTAGAAATTCAAGTTCCCAGGTCAACTTTTCAATTTCTTTTGCAAACTGGACTGGAAATAAGTGAATAGGAGGGGAAAAATTCCTGCACAGACATTCCTGGAGAACATCTGGGTTCCTGTCAACACTTCCATACCTTCATTTACCTCCTGTTTGCTCCAGGGATACTGCTGGAATTATCTATCTCAATATAAAATAAGGTCAAGTTGCCCTTCCTTCCCAAATCTTACATTTTAGGTTCTGGAATAAGTAGCCTTTCTCTCATCCCAGGCAGTGTTCCCATAAAACCCTTCCTGCTCTGCTGCTCAGTCATTTAGGGAAGGGGAAAACAAGACTTTTCCATTTGGATTTTCCTGATCTACAAAGGCATCTTCAAAACAGGGACCTTTTGGATCTCAGCCTGTGCTCTTTTACGTGGCTTATTGCTTCTAAACCTCCTCCTCACTTGTTTTAATATATATATATATATATATACACTATTGAAATAACCTCAAATTTATATGTGGAATATCTGTGATTTGAAGTTGTTTGACATAGAATTTCCCATGGAAAGTTGAAGCTTTCTTTTTTCTATTCACAGCTTAGTAAAACATCAATATTTCCCAAGAAAATAAAATTTGTGAGGTGTTTTTTTGCAGAAACTGTTTGGTAATACTGTAAAAATTGCTCTCCAAAATAAGGGAAATCAGAATTGTGTTTTTGCATCACTTTGTGTCTGTGCCTTAACTGACTCTAATTAGACCTTTTTGAGCTTAGAACACATTAAAAAAATCTATTATGAAATAGCATTTCCATAGTTTATTTTTGTCAGTCATTCAGAATTGCTCTTTTACTCTAATTAGACCTTTTAAGCTTAGAATACATTTAAAAAAATCTATTATGGAATAACATTTCCATGGTTTATTTTTGTCAGACAAAGTTGCTCTTGTACAAAATCTTCCACCTTTTTTCCCCTACTTATTTTCTTGTATTATTTGTAAACACCCCTAATACCTCAATCTGGGCAAAGCTCTGATTCTGTGCAATAAAACGGAATTTTTACAGGCTTTTTCCTGCTGAGGTGGAAAGGAGATGGTTATTTTTTTAAGGAACTGCCTTGAAGCTTTGTGTTATGAGTTCTTTTCTGAGCTCCTCTTCTGAAGGACTGACTGGGACGTTCTGGTCATGATTTTTGTTAATGAAGGGAGAACACTGAGAGTTCTGTCAGCAGAATAAATACCTGGAGGTTTCCAGGATTCCAGTCCTTGGGATGCTGCTGGAGCAGATGGATGGGTGTCAGCAGGTACCTGGCCCTTCTGGATGTCCTGCCCTTGAGAAGAGGCATCTGAGAGGCTGGGTTTAAATCCAGACTTATATGCTGTTGTTATATATATTATATATTATATTTTATATATTATATATTATAAACTGTTCAGGATGTTGTTCACAGGGAATGGGACAGGGATGGGGACACTGGTGGCTTGAGGCACCTCAACTCCCTCCTGCTCAGAGCTTGGCCTAACCCTGAGCACTGAACTGGGGGGTTTCAAACAGATTATTTTAACCAGACTAGGTCAGGTTTAAATGCTCCTCAGCCTAATTTACCTGAGCTTAATTACTGCAAGGTGTAAAGGATGCTCTTTTTTAATGCTGCTTAGTCATGGCTTTTCCAGCCCGGGGTGACTGCTGTTCTCTGGGATGGGAACTGCTGTTCTCCAGGATGGAAAACTGCCCTGAACCCCTGGAATCTGATGTTGCAGGGCTGGCACAGTGTCCCAGTCCCTCCCTGGGATTTTTGGGCAGTGTGGGTTGTGTGTCCTGTGCCTGCAGTAAATCCCTGCTCCCTGCAGCTGATTCCCTCTGGTTCTCCCTCATAAGGAGTCCCAGCCCCAATCATTCCCGTGCCAAGGGGCATCTGGCTTTGGAGATGAACTACAGACTGTGTCATAAGCACTGGATAAAAGTCCTAATTTGTTTATCCCTGGTGCTGGGATGAGTCTGTCAAAGCAGGAAGGAGCTGGTGCTTCACTGACTTCTGCTCTTGCAGGGCTGCTGTGAGCTCTGAACCTCCTCCTGTGCTCTTCCAGCCTCTTCAGAGACACAGAACTCAGGTCCCCATGGAGGTGATCCTCCCCTCTGCCCCCCTGTTTGTCCTGTGTGTCCTGGAGATGGATTCAGGAGCATCCTTACAGGTGTAATGGAATAGTAAAACATAAAGAATTCTGGCAGAGGTTGCAAACAGGAAAAAGCAGAAATCTCCACGTCCTCTCTCAGCAGAAGCCTGATTCCCATTGGGATGGGTTGTTATTTTATTTGCCTGCAATGAAACAAGTCACACAGCATTTATATCATGTCTTGAACCAGAATCCTCTTATTATGAGTGGGATGAGTCTCACTCTCCACTTGCCACTTCCCCGACTCCTCTGCCCACAGAAATCCACCTGGAAGCACGTTAAGGAAGCAGGCAAGGAGAAAGTGTGCCCTGCAGCCAGGGACCAGGGGGAGTCCATGGAAATCTTTGCCTAATTGTTTTGTTTATGAAGCTCTGGGAAGGGTTTCCAGTGGCTTTCCTAATGAACTGGTTTGTTGTTGAGACTTAGGGCGATGCCGGTAATTGCGCTGCAAACGGGGGGTCAAGACTCATCTTCCTCCCCACAAGCTTTCAACTACCAACCATTAAACACACAAACTCTGCAGCTGAGCTTTTTCCTTCTTCTCCTCGGAGTTTAACTCCTTATTTCCTTGCAGAATCCCTGCCATTCATCACTCAGGCTGAGTGGGAGGAAAAGGAAAGCGGAGCCCAAACTGGTTTGTTCTGTCCTATTGGATGAGTCTGAACTAGATCTCAACAACACACCTGGAATATGGTGACAAACTGGATTCCTGCTTAAGAATATATTCTGGGAGGACTCTGTGTTTCTCCCCAAAGCTGAAACTCTCTGTTTTTTCCTGGAAATGTATGGAGAAAAGCTTAGGAGTGTTGTCTGCCTTAGCAATGTGTGTTCCTGTAACACACAGCCAGAGTTTCTCAGCTGCCTTTTGAACAGAACCATCTCTCCTTCCCAGGAACTTGCTTTTAGGCTTCATTGTTAGGAAAAGCTGATAGAAAAGCTTTAAGCAAAGATTTTTCTCTGGCATTTAATAGCTGTAAGAACTTCAACTCTGGGCCTGCTGGGGTTCTTTCTGTTTAAATTTCCATTAAGGCAAAAAAGACTCAGCTGTGTCTTATCAACTGATTTCATCTAAATAAGAAGGTTTTTTTCCAGGAGAGCCAGAGGTGCCACTTCAAATATATAATTTTGGGGACTATGGAAAAGGCTTATTTTACATTAACTTTTTATATGTTATGAAAGTGCTGAGGTTCAGTTTAGTGTTAATGGCTGGGAATTGAGAGAAATATCCTTAAATAAATAATGCTGGTGGTTGAAGTTGAATTAGTGCATTTTTCCATATATCATTTGATTTTATTACTTCAAGGAGACGGTAGTTTTATGTGACTGTTATTTTATATAGTTTTTTATATTTGATTTGTGTTTTTTATGTTAGAAACTGCTGCAAATAAGATAATGGTTGTGCATTCAACAGCCACAAATTTCCCACTATCAGTCTTGGAGTTAGAATTGATGGGACAGGTCTCCTGGTGTGGTCACACATTTTACCACAGGCTCCAAATTCGAGTAGCAGATAATAAAATAATAAGGAAAAGAAGAATGTTGGGTTTCTGGGTTGGAAAAAGGGCTTAATGGTGCATTTCCTTACAGTATTTTTCCATGTGTTTGGATTGCAAGTTGCCTTTGCATGTGCTTATGGTTAGCAAAGACATTAACTCATGGAAAAGGAGAGGGGAGGTTGGGAAAAGCCTTCAGAAGATGAACCAAGTTAAGTTCCTGCAGATTTGGTGACTGTGGAAAGCTTTGGGGTTTGCTTTTGGCTCACGTAAAGAAAACGAGGTTTTGCATCTCTCCTTAACGATGGTGTTTAAGTGTAGACATGTTCAATTTTATTCTTTTTTTGTCTATAAAGTTTAGTTATAGTGGGATATAAAAGTGTTGGGAGTTTGAGGGAATATGGAGGGATTTGTGCTGCAGAAATTAGGATAGGGATAGACAGAGATGGGGGTGGAGACATAATATCTGTTAGGAAATACATGTTTATGACCACAGTTAAATACTTGGAAAGAAATGTAACTCTGTGTATATGGAAGGGGAAAGGCAATATGTGGAATTGGATGTCATTGCCAGGAAACACAACCTTGCCCTTTTTGTCCTGCTCTAATGGATTGGGGCAGGGAATTCATGGCAAAGGCAATTTCTTGCCCTTCTCTACCCAGAGTCTCCTCCTGATCCCCCCATTGTCCCTCTGCCACCCCTCACACCCACGTGCACATTCCCCTTTCCAGCTGCATTGGAAGCATCTGCTGTACCAAGCAGCATTTCACTGCTGTCTGAGGGGAGGGGATGGAAAAATCTCCTGCCCATGATGGGAACATGGATATGACACAACGGCAGCAGCTGAGGAAATAAAACCGTTCGGGCCGGAAGAAGCCCCAGAGGAAAGAGGCTTTGTAAATTATTCATGCCTGCTGGTGTGAAAGCAATAGAATTAAATTAAAATTGAAGTATAAACATACATCATGGTAGATTTGTGTAAAGAAAGGAATTCAGCTACTGCAGAGGCTGCTGGGGGGGTGGGACGTGGCAGATGCAGCCCACGGAGTCAGCGCTCCGAGAGCTCGGCGTGTGGGCTCTCCATAATCCTTGTGTACACTTTTTGGGAGACTCTTAAGCTGCTGGTGGTTGGAAACTGCTCTGGAGACCTTTAGACCCCTGTGCCTCAGGATTTGCTGGGCTGGATTTGAAGGCATGACATGTGTGTGGACCTGTTGGTTCCGGGTCAGCGTCACAAAATGGACCTGTTCCCCTTTTAAGCCGTTTCTCATCCTCTGTGGAGGCTGAGGAGGTCAATCCCCAGAGCTCATTGCTGCTGTGTGCTGGGGTTGCTCCTCTGTGTTCCTCTTTGTAGCCCTGCACAGGTGCTTTTAAAATTTCTTAAGGAAAAATGAACCGAAAATCTGCTCAATCCAAATCCCTTAAGCCAGGATTGATGGAGGTGCCGCTGGGAAGCTCCTGCCTGGGCTGGAATTTGAAGCACAGGTGCCATCTCTGTTTTCCTGCCATGCTTTGGCCAAATTGCATTTCCAACCTTTCTGTCCTGTACTGTTTTTCATGAAATGAATGGAATTTTCCTGAAAATTCCTGTCCATGAATACTCCTTCCCACTCGGGTCACCGGAGCAGCAGAAGCAGCCAGAGGTCCTTGCAAAATGGAAAACAGGAGTTGGGAGGAAGTGGGATAGTGGAGAACTGTCCAGAAAGGCTCTTTTCTCCCTCTCTCAGTGGCTTCTTAACTACAGCCATAAATCTTTTAATAAAGGTGGTGAAAAGTGAAGGAAGAAAGGGAGAAACAGGTTTAATTTCAGGCATTTCTGTGAAGAGAATGGGTAGAATTGTTTTGAAAAGGTGTGAAGGAAGGGGGAAAAACCCCCAAACCAGTCCTGCAAAGTGGCTCTAATTACCTCAACCTCAAAGTTGAAACTCAATTTGGTGAAAGTTCACACCCTGCAAAGCTTTGCACCTTAGAGCAGGACTAAAAAGGGGCTCAACTGCTCACAAAAGCAGAGCTGTGGTTGCAGCCCCCGGAGCCACGAGGGCATTGAGGGCTTCCTGTGTCCTTTTCCATCTTCTACCTTCCTTTGATTAAGTTTATAAAGACTAAATGCCCATTCAGGCTGAGATTGGTGTCCAGGGTGAGAACCCCCTGGGCTTCATCACAGCAAATGGATATATCCAAGGAAAACCACTTGGGAGTACCTTTATGTAGGCTGGTGCAATGGCAAGGGTGCAATTCCAGGTTAGTTTTAATGAGCATAGGCCAGCTGAGATGAATAATGCCCATTTTCTCCCACTGCCCACGTGCTTTAGGTGCAGGTTGGACTCATAGTTGTAGCTTTATTTCTCAGCTCTTGCACAGGATTGATGTGCCCTGTCATCATGTGTCATTATGAAGTTTAACTGCCCTGTTCTCCAGGTTAGTCTTTTGTTCCTCTAAGGCTTTTTTTTCCCCAGTTATGAAGTGATATCAATAATATCTTTTCAGCCTGCAAAACTCTGCCAGAGACAGGCTAATGGAGGGAACGTGGGTGCCAGGTCAGACTCTGGCCTGGTCTGCATCAGACAAAGTAATTGCTGTCTAATGACTGCAGGACAGTGGATGAGCAGAGTGTCAGCCACCAGAAAGGCTTGGCCTGTTGGTGGCCTTAGAGGGAGAACAAAATTCTTGGGAAAAGAGTCTTCAACTACCCCTGGAGAGTGTGGCAGCTTTGCTGCCAAGAGCAGCTGCCAAGAGCTGCTGCCAAGAGCAGGTGGAGTTGATGCTTTCCCTGGAGCTGGAACACCCAAATACCCATCAAAGTGATTCTCAACATTCACCCTTCCCAATAACCCTCTGCAGGCCTTACAGCCAACACTGGGGAGGGTTAATTCACCTCTGGAAAAAGGAAAATTTGGCTGATGAGGTGAGAAAAGTCCCTGAGAGTGACGTGTCCTGTGTTGGGGGGTCTCTTGCAGTGCACGTGCCGCAAGGACATGGTGAAGATCTCCATGGATGTGTTTGTGAGGGTCCTGCAGCCAGAACGATATGATTTATGGAAACAAGGCAAAGACATTGCTGTCCTGGACCACATGAAACCCACAGCTCTGACCAGCCCAGAACTGGATGCCTGGAATGAGACAAAGGCAGAGCTGAAGGCAAAATTGCTCCGCAGGTAAAGAGAAAACAGTCGTCGTGTCTGAGCGCTTTGATTCTAATTGCTGAGATTTTAAATGCTGTAATTCTTAGTTTGAGAATGTTCAAATTCTTTTTTTTCCCTCCCTTTGTTCTCTTTATACAATTCCTCTTGTAATTTGTCTTGGGTAATGTGTCCCTCATTGTTCTCTTCCCTTTAAATGTTATAAAAGCACACGTTCTGCAAAGTAGGACACCGGGTGCCCCCTCACATCTCATCTTAGCCTGGAAGACAAAAAATCTATGGTAAACATTTAGAGCTTCACTTATCAGAAGGCAGGAAGGGGAAAAAAAAAGAAGCCCCATCAGTTGCAAAAGGGATTTTCTGCATGCCTTTCTGGGCTTCCTTTGATCTGTCTTAATTTTCTCCAAGTCTGTGGTTTTTGTGTGTTAACAGCATGCTGGAGTTGAGAATTTGGCATGCTAACCTTTTCCTGTTGGAATCTTGCTTTTTTATAGGATAGGAGATGAGGAAGAGGACAACAAACACCGGTAGGTGACTTCCCTCATCACCTTCAATCACTTCATTCTTTCTCCTGTCAAGTTTTTCTTAAAATAGTAACTCTTGGAGGTGTTTGCCTTTTTTCAACTGAGTTTTTTTCCTGTCACCTTCTTTGAAAGCCCACAGGAAATCTTTGGGCATCGAGGTTTTCCCAAGGCTTTCTCTTGCTTTGGTGTAGTTTTCTGTGACCTCTTGTGCCACTGGAGACCCTCAACTGTCTCGTGCCTGCTCTGGTTTTCATTCTGGAGTTGATCTGCTGAAGTAGGAGGGGGGTGTGATGATAACTGGTTGTGGACGGGGGTAACTGATAAAAATGCTGCTGCTGACTCAGAGTAGAATTGAACTGGAGGGGTTTGGACATTGGCTGGTGGTGGGAGAACTTCCCTTCCTCCTCAAGCTTACTTGAAGAATGAGATTCTGTATTTTAAGGAATTGAGGTAAAGTGTGTGCCCTTCCATATGCTCCCATATCCTACTTTTTTACATCTTTCTCATTCCTGTTCCCCAAAGCACTTGCAGTGCAGCACATGGTTTCTTTCTGCTCTCATCCAGCATTTGCTGAATTCCTGGTTGAGAGCATTGGCAGGCTCTGGAAATTGTGTTGCTTCATCCACTTGTAATATTCTGCTGGTGATTTCAGTTCCAGTGTCACTGCTTGGAAATCCAGGAAAAAAAAAAGTGTTAAATAAGTTCCTGGGGCCATCTTTGATATGGACTCTGAGTAACAATTTAAAAACCTAATAACTGGACGATAGCTGATGTATTTAGGCATTTTATCAAAGCAAGAGACACTTTTAGTAGGATGTTATCTTTCTTTCTCCATCACTGCTGTTTGTCTTCCAGAAGTTTCAGTCACCCAGTGAGCCCTGGACTGGGGCTCCTGTGACTTGTGTTCCCTACATGAAGTATTTTGTCCAGTATTATTTTACAAAGGCTGAAGTGGAAAGGTGTGTTCCCCACTAAATCCATGCTCCCAAAGACACAATAAATATGGCATTTGGCAGATGACTGACCTCTGCAATATTGCTCTGCCCCAGAGGTTATAGTCCTAAGATGTTTCCAGCTATTCCTCCTATAATGAGCTTCAGGAAAAGCAGTGCAACCTCAGAGGCAGAAAGTTGCCATTTGTGCCCTCTGGGCAATGACTGAACTCCAGTGGGTCCCTGGAGCTTTTTCTTCCTCATCTGGAAATTGGGAATCTCTTTACTGCCTCGTCACTGTTAAGGGTTACTTATATATATAAATATTTGCACAGTGTAAGGTACTGTATGAACACCAAGGATTATTTTCCCTCAGCAGAGAAGCCTCTCTCTCAACCTGAGCCTATTGCAAAAGATCCAGGTACATTTTTTCCTTATCTCTTCAGTGTTGCCTGGATTATTTCAGTATTATCCTGAAGCAGTTTTGAAGCTGTTCAATACTCCTTAGCAGTACTTTCTCTCCTGTGCTTATGTCTTTCCAAGACATCATTTTACTTGAAGCCTGATTTTTCTCAGCAGGATGGAGGGAAGGGATTCACCTCTGCCCAAACCTCTTCACAGTTGTAGCTACTTAATTTAAGTCACTTTGTGGTCTGTTCTTCAAAGAGTACAAACGCTGCTTTTTTGTCAGCTCTCCTGGAAAAATGGAGCTTTTAAACTCTGCAGAGATGTGTTATTTCTTCTCTAAGGTCAGTCAGACTTAGTTACCTTGAAAAACTCAACTTTGTTTACTTTGTGGCTTCAGCAAGAGACTGTTTTTAGTCCAGTCCAGTCCCCAACAGCCCATTTCTGGTGTGTGAATTCTGGCAGACCCAGAACAGCTTCACCTGGGAAGCTGCTCAGCCTTCAGCCTGCACTTCTGGAAGCACTTGCTTTAAATGTAGAGTTTCCTGCCTCTCTTCCCCACAACTCCAGAGTGAGAAGAGCACTGCCAAAAGACCTTTTTTTTTTTTAGGTCCTGTGAGTATTTTATCTCCTGTGAGTATAAAGCTTTGTGCTGCAATTTTTGCCTGGCATTTCCACCCCACAGGAATAAAACACCCTTTCCTAAAACCAGCCTGTGACACCACTCTGCTGCTTTCTGCAGCTACAAAGAAGTTCCAGCTGCAATGACAGAGTCTCACAGCTTTATTTTCTCCTCCCACCTGACTTTCCCTCCCCTCCAGGGAAGGTGGTGTGGACTTGGAATATGGGTGAAGAGCAAAGCTGATCCTTTTGGGTTCAGCTCTGTGTTCCTGCTAATGACTGTCTTGCAGGTGTGAAGGCAACATCTCTGCTTGGAGAGCCACCATATGCTCCAAGTCTGGCAATTAGAAATCTCTGTGCATATGGAGCAACCTGCTTTTCTATTCATCTTCCAGCTCAGGTGGAATTTTTTTTTCTCCCTTCTTTGGCAGTTACCTGATTAAGGGCCCTTAATTCTGTTGTGCTGCAAATCTAATTAGCAGCTGAATTTCTGGGCTCCGAGGATGGGAAGCTGAATTTCAGCTTTTCTACATTTTTAGGCAGTGGTTGTGTTTTACTGTTTGTCACACGGTGCTGGATGTGAGGCCACATGGAAAATGCTGCTTTCACCCCCCCAAAAAAGTGTCTACATGCTAAAAATGGGGTAAAAATGACAAGTTTCTGAATCAGTCTCTTTTGAAAAGAAAGCATTAAACCCAAAATTCAAGGAGCTGTTGGATAGGTTCTGTAAAAACATTGGACTGGGACTGGCTGGGATGGAGTTGCTGGGAATTGTGGCTACTCCAGTGCTCATAAAGCTCTGATGGTTTTGTTTTTGCTGGCCCAGTGTCAAGGCTTTATTTCCCCCCCCCTCTGTGGGGTGGGTGAGAGATGAGGAGGGGACCCAGCTGGGACAGCTGGCCCAGAGTGGCCAAAGGGAGCTTCTGTGCCATCAAATGTGATGGGGAGCAATAAAAACTGGGGGAGAGAGGAAGAAGGAGGGGTTTGGCTTCCGAGGTGGGGGTTGTTTGGAGCCTGGCTGGGCACTGCTCTGCCTGGGGGACACGGTGAGTGCATTTCCTGGCCTTATTTCTTCCTCTTTTCATTCTTTCCTCTTTCTTTCACCTGCATTTGTCTTCACTTACAAGTTTTCTGGCTCTTGTTCTTCCTGTTTTCCCTCCCTGACCCTCTTGAGCAATGGGGAGGGAGTGTCTGGGTGGGTGCTTGGCTTCCTACTGTTCCCAACCAAAAAAAATATCATCCTGACTTCTGAATTTGCATTTTTCTTTGCATTGTGACCACTGTAATCTCTTTTTCTTAGTGGCATTGACATTAAAAAGAATGAACAGCACTGCTATTGGCTCATTAGTATTAGTCTGATCATATTAATACACCTATTTTTTAGTTAGATTTCTTCAAGGCCTTGGACCTTGTGAATTATACCACTGAATAATCATAGTCTGCCTATTGATTTTGCTCTGAACATTCATTATAGTGTGTTTTTTAGGAACTGGCAGTGCTGGGTAATGTCTCAGAGCTGGATGATGATGCTTTGCAGACTTCCAGCAGTTTGCCAAAGGGAAGCACGGCCAGAATGAACCGAAATAATGGAATGGAGGCAGAGGATGAAAGAGAGATTTAAACAAGTTTTCATCTGTGTTTTGAAATACAGAAAGCAAAATAGATTTAAAACCACAATTAAAATCACTTTAACTGCAGCTTGTGAGCTTACATTAGTAATGGTGGGAAAAAGCTCTTCGGGAAACCCAGACAATTAATGGCTGCAAGAATGGATCTTAAATGTTGTGTTATGCAAGGTTCATCTGCTCCCTTTCAGATATCTCCTTTGCCCTGTAGCTATTTTAACTACCTTGTGTTTTCACTCCAAAGAAGATCCTTTTGTTTTGTGTCCAGCTTTTTAAGTCAGTGATGGTTTTCTGTATTGAAGGCTGGGCTTTCATGTCAAATCCCACTTTTGTACTTCCAGGTCTCACAGAAAAAGGAGTCAGCACAGGAGACACAAAACAGAGGATCAGAAGTCTCTGGGGGATGTCATGGCTATTGAAACTGCCTTGGAAGACGTGAAAGTAAAAGAGGAGCTGAAAAGAGGGACAGACCTGGAGGAAGAGGAGAGAAGCAAAGGGATTGAGGGAGAAGGTGAGGGCCCTGCTCACTGGTGGTAGTGAAGAGTTGGGGCAAGTTGTCTCTCTAAAAACACCTCTGTAAATAACTTTTGTGCTGCTGTTTATTTCTGTTGAAATATCAGCAGAGTTTTTCCCAGTATTAAATCCGTGCTCCCTGCAATACACCATCATTCACAGCAGCAGTTGATTTTCCCCTCTCCTTAAGGATTCAGTCCCAACAGCTTTCCTGGTAGGGTTTGAAAATATGAGAGGTTTGTAAAAATATATGTTATGGGAGGAATATTTTAAAAATATTTCATAGGGAAACAAATAAAATAAATTTTTGCGTCCTTCTCGTGGAGAGGATTGATTTGTGCACTGCCTTGTGCAATTCATCTTTTCTCTTTCCCTGCCTTTGTTCCCATTTCTCACAGGCTGAATCCAGGGAGCTTTAGGTTGGGAGGGATCCTCAGCTGCTACACGAGTCCCACTTGGGTTTCTTCAAGTCCAGCTGGAGCAGGGAAGCTTTTCAGCTTTTCAGCTTTCTTTGCATGGCTGAAATTAAACCCAGTCCATGACAGTCCCAATCCTTTGGGATTTCTCCTGCTCATGGTTATTCCCAAGGCCTGAACTCCCCCATGGAGCAGGAGGCTCTTTCTGTGGCACCTTTGTCTTGGCTGTGTAGCAAAGGTTACAATTTTTGCTGGGAAAAAGCTGTTTTTTCCCCCCTAACATGTGTGGTTAAGTGGTTGCTGTGCCTGATCCACTCCTTCTTTGAGGCTTCTCCGAGAAGTGAATTAATTTTAATCTATTGGATACATTCCATTATTTGTTTAGCACTTGGAGAAACTGATGCTGCAAAGTGTTTAGAGAACCTTGATAATGATCTTAAAGGAAATCTATGGAAGCTCTGGGAAGAGAATCAAGGGCTTTGTTCAGTTCCAGAGCCTCTTAACTAGACAGTGTATTTTCTCTTTTCAGGGGAAATCAGGGGTTGGAGAATCATTGTTGCACAGAGCAGCAGCACAGTGCAGACACTTAATTTCTATTGCCCTGAGCCTGGAAGCAGCAGCAGTGTGTTAAATTGTCTGCTCGGAGCTCTTGTACAAGTTTAACACTTGATGCTTGGAATAAATGGCCCGAAAATGCTGATTTTTCTTCGGAGACAAGAGATAAGTGACAGGGACAGATCTGAGATCATTAGAATGGCCAAGGAACAATAAAAACTCTGTTCTAGCTGAATAGGTTCCAAATCATACACTTCCACTACATCTTAAGAGCTCTTTAACTCTTAGCTCAGGAGGGAAAAGCTGATTTTCAGCACCATTGCAGCAAGTGCCACTGGCACAGGCTCTTGCTTGGTGTGGCTGTTAGCAAATATACAGCTTTCTCACTGCAATATAGCAATTAAATCCCAATGGCTTCTCTAGTTTTCCACATCCTGCTGCCTCTCACAAGTGTCTTAGGGTTTCATCCTGAAAAAAGAAAAGAGCATCTGCTTGGATGGTCCTGCTCGTGGCAATTCAGCTCCCCCCCACCTCCTTCCCTTCCTTCCTTTATTCCTCTGGTTTTAATTTGGCTTGATTTTCTGTTTACACCAGTAGAGATGACCTTGAGAAGGAGGAAGAAGGAGATTTCAGAGTAATCATGGCTTCAAAGTACATCTTGTGCTTCGTGCTGGTTATTTGGACAAGCTGAGTATTTATAACTCGAGGTTTTCAGGATTTCTGACCCAGATCCCTTAACGGTGCTTTGTTTTGGGTTTTGTGACTCAGCTTTACATTCATAATTTATTATGTTGCTATTAATATATTTAGAACTCTTAGCAGGTTGTCTTGGGACACGAGAAAGGAGAGTCTTTAGTCTTTGCTGTTCTCTGGGGGTGCTGAGCAGCAGAAATCTCTCCTGTGAGTCAGCAGGTGTTGCCTGTGGTGCTGTGCCTGGTGAGAGTCCTGCAGACTGGGCTCCAAACCTTCCCTCTGGTGCTGGAATCCATTTCCACCTGTCTTTGCCCCATCCCAGGAGATGTTACTGCAATGGAGGAAGTCCAGGCTCCTGTAGCCTCTTTTTATAATCCCATTGCCCAAAGCTGTGGTGTGGGGTTTGATTTCCTCACCAAACCCCTTCCCCTCAAAGGTATCACAGAATCCCTGGATCGTTGAGGTTGGAAAAGACCTCCAAGGTCATCGAGTCCAACCTTTGATCCCACCTTGTCCCCCAGCCCAGAGCACTGAGTGCCACATCCAGGCCTTCCTTGGACACCTCCAGGGGTGGGGACTCCAAACCTCCCTGGGCAGCCCCTTCCAGTGCCTGAGCACCCTTTCCATGGAGAAATTCCTCCTGCTGTCCAACCTGAGCCTCCCCTGGCACAGCTTGGGGCCGTTCCCTCTCCTCCTGTCCCCTGTTCCCTGGGAGCAGAGCCCGACCCCTCCAGCTCCAACCTCTTTCCAGGGAGTAGCAGAGCAGGAAGGTCCCCCCTGATCCCCCTTTTCTCCAGGCTGAGCCCCCCCAGCTCCCTCAGCTGCTCCTCAGCTTTCCTGAACTCTGTCCAGTATTTCCCATTATCCCTGAGCTCTTCTCTCCATGACACCACATTGTCACACGTGTTTTCCACATGTCCCAGCTCTGCTGCACGAGGAAGGGCAGGAAAGACCTTCTGTTAACCTACAATGGATTTGTGCCTGCAGAGCCCTTTCCTTCCTAGAAATGTTCAGGACAGCCAGACAGGCACTTGGAATTTTACCTCCCTTTTCCCTGGCTTCTGATTCTATAGATTCACTTGCAAACTCGTTTGTTCCTCTTAATGCAAAGACTTTTAAGCCCAGTTCTACGTGCCAGCTGCTGTCAAATTACCCTTTAGAAGTCAATAAAGCTGGTGAATGGCATTTGTGGTGTTGTTGGGGAGAGAATTCTCAGAGTGTATAGAGAGTAAATATGATCTGGTTTTGTGCAACTGGGGAGAAATCCAATTTGCCTTTCATTCACTGTGTTTGTTTCTCTAAGGAAATTCAATATTCCTTTCTCTGTGATAGAACAAACCAGTTTATCTGAGGGGCTGCCTACACGAGTGCAGCTATAATTATTTGGGCTGGCCTTGTTCCCATGTTTAGAAGTTAGTGTAAATAAAGTCATCAGAGCAGAGTTCTGGGAAATGCTGAGGTTGAGGTATTCCCTGGAAGATTTCAACAGGGATATTGGCACTTTATCTCATGGTGGGGTTGTTCACCCTCCTCCTGCAGACACCTGGTTTTTGTGTGATGGTTTATCTGGTTTTCCATTTGCTGGGTTTGACTGGTCAGGTTTGGGGTAGTAATGGAAGGGTCTGGGCAGGTTGGGGTTGGTGAAACATCATTATCGGGGTGAACAACCTGTCTCTGGTTGTCACCAGCTCTTCCTCCCATCCTGTTATGGGACATGACCCTTTGTCACAGCATCTGGAGGTGAAAACCAATCTCCTCTGGAATCAGTGGAGCCCTGTGAGCATCTCTGGTGTACCTGCCTTTGGGGGAACTGGTGACTCCATCCCTGGAGTGAGGGAGGAGCTGGGCAGTGGGAACACACCTCATGGCAGAGGGAAGAGGAGAAGGCAGCTCCTGTCCTGACCTGAGACACTCCCTCAGTGGCCAGCAGGAGTTTTTTAACCACTGCTGGAAAATCAGTGTGTGCTTCCCATAACAGAATTCCATTGGGAAGAGAGGTGGGGAAGATTTTATGGGCCTTTTATGATGATATTGACATGTTTATCTGTTCAAGAAGTGTTGTCAGAGCCATGTGAGAGACCTGTACAGATCAAATGAGTGACAGTGAGCTGGGAGAAACAAGGACCCTGTAAAGGATATCTCAGTATCCAGTGCTGGTGTGGTGTCTGTAACAGGCTTAGCTCAGTGCTCTGCCTGATTTATGCTTTAAAGGCATCTTTTAAAAAGACTTTACAGCAGAAATCTTCTGGTAATAATGATTCAGGTGTCTTTGTTCAATTCTTCATTTCCTGGGGCTGTTGAGCACGTTGACACACAGTAATACCCAGATAAGAGCTGGGCTTGCAAATAAAGGGAGGACCAGAGGTTTAGCACAGTATGATACAGAATGGAGGCCTCCAAACTTTTTGAATTAGACCTCCTCATCAGCAAAAAAAATTTGAGCACACTTCCTGATGTATGTCTTTATTTATATACTTACTTATTTATGTATAGCACAGAAATACACAGGTACATTTGTATTTCTGTGCTGATATGTCCATTATAGACATACAGAAAAACAGAGATTTAAAAAAGGAAGACCTAAAGGTAAAAGAAACACTACTCTAAAGATATATTTTATTTTATTTCCTTCCTGCACCCCAGTGGATAGTTTTGTGCCCCCAACTTTGGAGACTGCTGATACAAAATACTTGAAATACAGAGTCAGGGCTAATGTAATGAATGACATGGGTTTTGGCACACTGTCCAGTTTCCTAGGGATTTAGATATTTTTCCCTCCAGGAAACATTCATTTTGGCAGCCTTTCTGCTCCAGTCAAGAATTTAATAGTCCATAGAAATGACACAAGTCTTCTCTTTGTAACGTGGGCTCCTCTAGGGCAGTGCTGAGGCACAGCTGGATGTCTGCAGCTCTCAGGGGGCCTGTTGGAGAGGAATAATCTGTGATGGAGCACGTTAGAGGAATAATGCCAGGATGGGACATGTTAGAGCAATAATATCGTAGTGGATAATAGAGCAATATTGTCATGGTGGGACATGTCAGAGCAATTATTGCAGGATGGGATATGTTAGAGGAATAAAGCCATGGTGGAACATGTTAGAGGATAATGCCATGATGG